ACTGCAGAGACCTCCCAGTAGTGACCTTCTAGTCACCTCAGAGAATCTGAGCAAGTTGGCAAAACCTTTCTGGATAAGATACGCTTTATCCAGGTACACCTCAGATACTGCTTAGCCATTTAAGGCCCACCTCTCACTGTGAGCATTTTAACTTTTCCATTTATCAAAAAAATGCACAAAACATTTCTAGAACATTTCTTGAAAGAGCTTTAAGAAAGAGTAAAATATCACACTAGGGATCACTAATGAAACACAACGATCTCTCATGGAGAATATGACATGAGCATGTTTTTTTCAACAGCTAGAACTGAGGGCTGCAAGTAACCTGCCATTGAAGCCATCAGCATCTAATTATTCATGTTAGAATTTAGCCAAAACATGTAAGAACAATATTATTGCTGCTAAAGACACCACAAGGACAGCTGTGCTTCCTGACCAGCACTGAGGTTTGGATGCAGTATTATTATCTTCTCAGTCACGGACATCACTCCCCTGACTTTTTTCCTTTGAGCCTTTTGATCAAGATGACGACTGGCCAAAGCCAGGCACGTTATGAGCTTTTATTTTGCACGAGAGCAGGAACGGAGCCGCTCATTTGCTTACTTGTTGTACGTAGCTTTGATGTGAGCTATTGGAATCTCTTCATAGGTCTTTCCATCCCATCTCATGGAGTTCCTCTGCAGGATTAAAGGGCTGAGGAGCAAAACAAGAGCTATCACTCGTTAAATTTTGCAAAGTTTTATTTTGTATTGAGAAAGAAAGACGGGATCGAGTCCTCGCAAGACACAAGCTGCGTTTGTGATGGAGTCAAGTCCCTTGCTTCCCTTCCTCAGCTGAAAAAACACCGAAGGCGATAAAAAGCCCCAGCAAGAGGCAAACGGTAGAGCCCTCCGGGCGCGGCGCGGCCGTCTCACCTCAGGTCGGTCGCGCTCCGGTTCTCCTCCTCCTTCGCGCTCGCCGCAAGTTCCTGTAGCCTCCGGGGGCCGGTGCGCAGGCCGCGGCACAGGGCGGCAGTACAGCCCCT